TCCTGTGTCTCTCCTATTATAAGGTGTTCCATAAATTTAAGGAATGAATTACAAATTAATCTAAGAAGAGGTGATATCTAATAAATAAGATTTATAAATGGAGAATCACTGCCTTAAAATATTCAAATCCTTTGTCTGTATCAGTATTCAGAGATATTATCATTCTCCTCACCTCGCTACTTACTGAGATATAACTTCAGAGATTTGATGCAAAACAGAAATAAAGGATAAAACCTACTTTATATTATGGGACTATAGTAAACGGCACTGACTAAAAAGAAAGAAAGAAAGAAAAAAGCAATTAAATCAAATGTCCTGATCCCATGGTAGCCAGCAACATCCCCGGCTGTAATTTTTGATTCCTCTTGCTTAGACCTAGGACTTGGGATGTATCTGAAAAGAGAGCTAAAATGCTGACTGTTGTTGGAATAGCAAGAAGACAATTAGGGGACGTAAATACAATGTCACATCTCTTAGTATTGGCTGATTGGCTGTGACAGCCTCAATGAGAGAGATGAAAAGACCCGTACATTCCTAAACAGTTGTTAACTCAGGTACAGAAGGTGGCGCGTGCTCCCATCAGAACAACGATTTGCTCTCGAGGCGCAATGCACTGCAGTGTAGTTATAGAAATAGGCCTATTTCTGCTCTGCAACCCCCAGGGTCTGGCCCGCATGGGCTGATGAGCAGCAGCCAGGAATAAAGTGAAAACTTAAAGAGATTTGATGTCATCAGAACATGACATATGAATGTGGTGCCAATCCCTCTTCCTGGGCTTTCTGACCAATCAAAGCAGCTTGCTAAAGATAAAGTGCCCTCCATCCTGCAGTCAAACCACTTCCTTCATCTGCCAAGTGATGTTAAATGCACTCATCTCTCACTAAACTCTGCAAGCCTTTTCACCTGCTTTGTTGTTCTTGTGTGCTGACATTGTCATATAGACGGTAGATGTTGGTTATAGTGGTTGTATGCTGGGACATAGTCAGTCCTTGTTTTTCAATGCATTGTTTTGGAGAAGCCTGCTCCTTAAGACAGATTGCCATAAAATTAAATTTGACCGACTATATGCTGTTCTCCTTATTGATTCAGATTTCATGAGGAATTGTTAAATGAGCACAAAAAAGTGCTGAAAACTGATGAACAGCATGTTGGAGTTCAGGCAGGTGGGCAAAAGAGGGAGAATGCAAAGCAGCAAAAAGCGATTTTTTTAATTCTTGATTGAATGTCTACATTAAATGAAGGAGGTGGGTGGATGATTAGATGCTTTGTAATGTGGCTGGAGCTAGTTTTAAACAAGTAAGCAAGTGTTTTCTCTGAATATGAACTTATTTTAGTTTGATCTTTTAATTTCTGCCAGGGAATGCCCAACTTTTAGGACAAAACTGTTAGTATGTAATAGGTGCTCAATAATTGCTTTTAAAATAGAAATAATAACATTCTTCACAGCCTTTAACTTTTTCTTAAAATACCACTTTTCAAATTTTCTCATGGTTTTGTCTTCAATGAATGCAATCCAAATTTCTAAGCAATTACAGTATGAGAAAAATTCAGAAGTAGTATATAATTTGAAACCTTAATGTACATCTACAAATCAGGTTTCTAAAATTGTAATTGTCTATATTCCCTGTTATGGTTGGAAGAAAGCAAGATATTAAATATTTTGTTATTGATTTGGATATAAAAAGTGATATTGGCCCAAATTAAAGGTCAGACAAATAAAGCTTTAATTGGAATAGTAACACTAGCTAATTGTTATGCTTATTTATTGTATGACATGTTCTGTGTTTTGTAAATAGCTTATTTATATCTCTTAAATACAGTTTGAGGTAGCTACTATGATTCTCTCTAGTTTACAGGTGAGGAAGCTAGAGCTTGGAAAGATTGAGTAATGAGCCAACGTCAGACAACTGACATTCAACCTGAGGCACCCTGGCTCCAGGCTCAGGGCTCTTAACCACCATGTATATTGCACAAACGAAAGCAAGCAGAAACACAGTCAGTTACTTGGAATGATCCTGAAAGTGCTTGGCCACACTGTTTCAAAGATCCAGGTCATTTGTCCTAGAAATTACACTATTATTTCACAAAGGTAATTAAATATATAAGCTACCTTTGACTCCACTAAGAGAAAATGTGTATCAAAATAGTGTTGCTGCCCGGCCGGTGTGGCTCAATGGTTAAGCATCAACCTATGAACCAGGTGGTCATGGTTTGATTCACGGTCAGGCACATGCCTGGGTTGCAGGCTCGATCCCCTGTAGGGGGCGTGCAGGAGGCAGCCGATCAATGATTCTCTCTCATCATTGATGTTTTTATCTCTTTCTTCCTCTCTCCCTCTCTGGAGTCAATAAAAAAAATATTTTTGAAAGGTAGTATTACATCATTTGAGAAATTATCTGATTCTGAGTTGTAATTTCAGAAAAAAAGGCTATGAGAGATTATATGCTCATGATCATTTCCTTGCTGGGGTGTAAATGTTGCTAATTGGTGGCCTTTTTTCCCAGTTCCTCTTCTCCATTTATCTCCAGAACTGTTTTTGGTGAGCATCTCTTACCTGGACTATTACAGCAGCCTCCTGTTTGTTCTCCACACAGTCGCCAAAGGTATCTTCACAAACCAACCAACAAAATATGCTGTATGACTCTCCTCCTTATTAAGAACAAAGAAATTGTTCTTTATTTTATTTTGAGTCATACACCCTAGCGACAGTCCAATGAAAGCTGTAGACTGTTTCTGAGTAAAACGAACTTTACACACATTATTCATTATTCTCTGGCATAGCTTGTTAGGGATTTCAAATATCCCCCACCAGCCTGCTTCCTCACCCAATATTCCATCATTTATCCTGTCACCTGTACCCTGGTTGCATGACATTTCCATTGTTTTTGTCATGCTTGGAATATTCTCCAAGTTCTCTCTTCTACGCATGCTCTTAGCTATCTGGAATGCAATGCTGGACTAGAGGGAGGCCTTGTGATGTGTCTGCCATGGGCAGCCTTCAAAACGTCATTCTATAAGCTTGGGACTAGTATCTAGCTACTTAGAATCTCAATTTTATCACTGGTAAATGAGGGTGGTAATATTTATTTTTCAGGGTTTTTATAAAGATGAAATGAAATAGTGAATGTAAAGCACTTGGCACTCAATAAATACCTATCTTCAACCCGGATTGATCATCCTCACCTTTTATTCCCTACCTCCCACCCCAGTGAGTGGATTTTGGGTTCCTTTCTGTGCCCCACAGCACCCAGGATGATACCTCTGAACATGTAACATTACTTGACATTTTCTATTTCTCCATCTAGACAAGTTGTTCTTAATCCAGATCGCACACTTAAGTAATGTGGAAGCTCTATAAAAATGCCTCTCCTTGCCGTAGGCCAGTGATGGCGAACCTTTTGAGCTCGGCGTGTCAGCATTTTGAAAAACTCTAACTTAACTCTGGTGCCATGTCACATATAGAAATTTTTTGATATTTGCAACCATAGTAAAACAAAGACTTATATTTTTGATATTTATTTTATATATTTAAATGCCATTTAACAAAGAAAAATCAACCAAAAAAATGAGTGTCATAGGTTCGCCATCACTGCCCTAGGCGGTTTGGCTCAGTGGATAGAGCGTTGGCCTGTGGACTGAAGGGTCCCGAGTTTGATTCCAGTGGATGTGTCTCTCTCACATTGATGTTTCTCTCTCTCTGTCTCTCCCCATCCCTTTCACTCTCTAAAAATCAATGGAGAAATACAGAAAGTAAATAAATAAATAAAAATGCCCCTCCTTGGTCCAATTAAATCAGAGCCTGTGGCATGGTATGCAGTCATGGTTTATAAAGTTCCCCAGAGGATTTTCATGGTCAACCTTAGACTACAGACCCCTTGAGGGCAGGGATTCATCAGTGAACACTTCTGTCATGGAGCTGCACACTGAACACCCACTCAGTGCGTACCCTAGAATGAATGAATGCATGTGTGCATCATGGCCAGCTGCTATGCAGGCCTTATACAGTTGAAAAACTTTAGCCCATTTAATTATGAAAATGTAACACTCAAATTTAACATATTTTTAATAAATTTACATTTATACAATGGTAATCAATACTTAAGCAGATAAAGACATGCTTTAAGTTTTCTCAGAGTAGATGTTGCTTCAGGCAACTTTTTATCTATACATTTGTATGGTTAGTGATTCTTTTTTTTTTTTTTTTTCATTCTTTGGGACCTGAAGTCCTTTTGGTGAGAAGGTTTTATAAATCTCTTAAACTAAAGGGTGCTTAAATGCTTAGAGCTGAAATTAGTGGTCTGCCTGCCACTATAAGATTTCACACTGTTGGGTTACTATATATAATTCTATCCTGACTAGCATTTATTTTGTTGCCTTTCTCTTGGGAGTGTAGATGCAGATTTATATTTAACCTTCCTGTGTTCTTTCTTTTTAGTGACCTATCAATAATAGTGTTTGGCTGTAAAAATATACACAGTACCTTGCGAAAGGAAGAAGAAAGGGACTAATAGCATTAAAAGCAATAGCTCTAGCAATTTGTTGAAATTAACTTTTCCCCATAATGGCAAGTAGTGCTTTCTTTTCTGAATGCCAAATGGAAACTGATATACAATAAAATGTGTCTTTTCATATAGTAAATAGTGTCAGATCACCATGACTACTAAAATCAACTTTCTCATTTAAATGCAAAAGATTTGTAAGTTTATTTTCAGGAGGATTCGATTTCAGAATGGCCTCTAGACACTAAGCTGAATGGTGGGTAAGGGAAGTAGATTCCTATCTTTTCTCATAAAGAGAATCATGACCTTATTATCTCAGTCCTGGCCTAGAAATTAAAATGTTATCAGCTCAACAAAAAGGAAGAAAATACATTACAAAAATGTCTCTAACTGTTAGGGGATCCCAGTACAGAAAATGCACAGGTTCGATAGTTTTATTGGAATAATAATGATAGATTTTGGGACTATATTTAATTTCTTTACAATGTTATTTTCTCTTAGGTAATCAGCTCTGATGTGGGGTCAACAGTTTGCTTCTGGATGATAGACACTGGGCAGAAAATCAAACAATTTACTGGTTGTCATGGAAATGCAGAAATCAGCACTATGGCCCTTGATGCAAATGAGACACGGCTTTTGACTGGCAGCACAGATGGAACTGTTAAGGTAGGAACAGTTCTTACCAGACAAGAGGGGGCCAGAATACTGTGAGAGGAAACACAGTTTTGACTATATTTATTTGTGCTTTTTTTTGGCCTTGCAAGAAGAGAGATGAGACAAGGTAAGAAGAGCTAAAGAACCCAAGCCATCTAATAACAAAGCTGTTGGGAAAATAAAATTCTGTGGAAAAAATGAATAAATGGTTTTTCTGAATAAATTATTTAGAATGAAAGCACAACTTGGCTTTCTTATTTCAGAAAGCTTTTTCCAGTGCTCTGGGTAGAGGACTACTTTGGGGAATAAGAGGCCTGAATAATTTCCATGTGCTTCAGCTAATGTCTCTAGTTTCCTTTTCCTCGATTTATAAAATGAGAAATCAGGGCAAGTACGTAAACTTTTCAACATGGCATAGATGCAACGTTTCCAGAAAATTAATATGTTAGAATCACCCCATTTTGTAATTTTTATTTTTATGTGAAGGTGAGGTGGTGAAGAAAGGGGGAAGAATAATCATAATCTTATTTATTATTTATCTTATACTCACACGGTATTCTGCTTTGGGGCTTTTCTTTATTTTGCAACCATTATTAATTTCTTCTGGGAGAAAGATGATACTATTTTACTTTGCGAAAAATGATCAAATTTTTATGCCAAGTTAGATACAATCTGAAATCATGTCCATCAGTGAATCTTCCCTGCTTCCCCGGGCTCTGAGAGCAATGACAGAGTTTGATTGGAGATGACTTGTGACACTCGAGGCAACAGAGGGTACTTTTCTGAATAAGCTTTAAGTGGCTTGCAAACTTTCATATCTGGAGTCATGAGAGTGTTAATTAGATGTACCTTCCATGATAGGATGTCTGATGCATTCGGGGTAAGGGGCTCTATCTGGATAGGTAGGTGTCATATCATGGAAGGTGGAGGCAAGTTTGAAGGAGGATTGCAGCCTGCTAATGGCCAGTGGGAAGGAGGTGCTATGGCATGTTACAGTGAAAATCTCTGGGAATCAGCAGAATTTGATTAACCTCTAGAAAGGTTAATGGATGACATATAGACTGGGAGATTGGATTTAAGCAACATAGACTCATTCATGGAAGGACTGACTGGTAAAAGGTGTGAGGGTAATGGAATAATCCCAATCCTAATAGTCAAGGTGGAATAACAAAAGAATAACTGAAAGTGAAGTATTAGACAGAGGCTTATCAAAAGGAACAAGCAAGTGTCCCCACTACTAGTCATGGGGAATGAGGCAGAACTGAAAAATAAGGGAAGTAGATTAGGTTCCCTTTACTCTTGTCATGGGAAGTAACCATCCAGAGTAGGCCAGACTTATAAATGGTTGCTAAAATGGTCCCAGCTAAGGGACGAGGTAGATTCTGGGGTAGTCACATCCTTACAATACCTATGTGTGGTATTATTTCAGATGAGCTTGGTTAGGAGCCATGGGTAGAAGAAAACAGTGACATGGGTGAGAAGATGTGCGCTGCTCTGGCTCAGCTCAAGCTTTGACATCTTAGAAGCTAATGTGAATTTACTAGTATAATCTCAGCTTTTGAAGGTACATTTATCTTTATCACAATAGCACAACAGAATTCTGAAATTCGGTAACCTCTACATAGGACACATAAATCAGGGTTGAGCTACAGTGGCTGTATTTATGAAGAAACAAGAATGAATGACATTTTCTAATCTCATTTATCATTCGGCATCTAAAACCAATACCTCTGTAATCAAAGATTTAAAAGTATTGCCCTGTTTATCAGGGTTTTGAAGTGTCTGTTTTTTAATTAATTAATGTTTTGAATAATTAATCATGCATATAATAAAATTTAAAATATAAAGTAGATATAAAGTCAAAAAAATCTTTCACCCTTGTTTCCAGCTCCATACTGTGCCTGCCACTGTTTCCAGTTTCTGATGCATGCTTCTAGCCTCTGAGCACCACTTCTTTCTCAACGGCAGCTCGCTGTCCATGCTGTTCTGTATTTTGTGTTTTCCTGTCTTGGACATTGATTCATATGAATACCAACAATAGTCATAATGTTAGCTAACATTTATTTCATGCTTACTATGAACCAGAAACTTTCCTAGCACTTCACACACACACACACACACACACACACACACACACTATGGTTACACTATGGTTGTTGCTTTTATTATCTCAGTTTTACAGCTGAGAAAACTGAAGCCCAAGAGATAAACAGCTGGTTTAGTTTTGGCTGAGCTTGGACACATGGTGGTGACTCATTCTTCTTAATGGCTACATTATATGTCACTGTATAGATATTCCATATTCTGATGCTCAGTCTCTTATTAGCTAACCAGTAAATGGATTCAAATCTTTAGTTTTTATAAACAATGTTTCAAGAATATTCTCCAAATTAAGCCATTTCACACATTTGAGTGTCTCTGTGTAATGACTTTCTAAAAGTTGAATTTTTGAGTCAAAGATTATATGCATTTTAAGTTTGACAGAATGCCAGCTTGTCCTTTGTGCATGATGTACCAACAGTGTCTCATAGCAAGGCATAGTTTTAACTGCTGGGGACCTAATGACATTCTCTCTTAAAGCACTCCTATTGGGTCTAGGTCCTCACCAATGCCTGAGTGGGGTAATCTAGAATTGCCTGTGCCTCCATAGGACTGAGTTCTAGCACCCGCTATCAAAAAGATGTTTTGTGGGCAGATGATGGAAAACTTGGTACAATGATCACTGTGTTTCAGGCTCTGTATTCGATGTTTAAAATTCCAAACACGCCTGAGGAGTAATGTTCCTGTGTCACAAATTAGGAATTTTAGAGAGAGTGAGAAGCAGGATTTCAACAAACTCCAAAATGGGGCTCTTCATGATTTTAACTTGCCACCCCCTTAAAAATACCCACTAATTTGTTAGCCTTTGAATCAAACATGTATAGAATAAACTGGTAGTATTACTCATAGAGTAATACATATAATGGCTAAATTTCAATAGTGAGGGGATTTTCTTGAATTATTACATATTCTGAGTGAATCATCCCTAGTCCAGAATGGAAATACAAACATTTAGAATAATCTTATTACACTGTGCTGTTTCACTCATTGAAGAAGACATTTTCTTGTCTCAAAGGTGATTTTAATTTTTCTCTTAAAGGTGTGGGATTTCAATGGATATTGTCACCATACACTAAATGTTGGAAAAGAGGGAGTTGTGGATATTTCACAGATCCTGGTTCTTAAGAAGACAATACTGGTTACAGGCTGGGACAGGTATGATATGCCTCACATAAAACTATAGGAAGAATGTTCTTATTGGAATCAAAATATAAACGAAAAAAGAACATAGAAATCTTGACTGAATCTAAATCATTGACTTTCTGGTAACCTAGGTGAGTGAAATTGTTTGGAATTGACTGAATGCTTAGTGACTATACTATTATAAGATCATGTAGCTTGAGCAAGTTTAAGAATTGTTATAGGGCTTTCTCCTGGCTTCGGGAACCTTCCTCTTCCTTTAACCATTCCAGGTAGGGACATAATACCACTTTCTGAGTATTAACTCCAAAAGTTTCCCAAATGTTATAGGCAATAAATTCTTAATGTGTAAATTACATTCTCTCAACTGTAAAAGGAGCTCATTCCTTCTTCTCGTGTTGCTTATTTTAAATTGCAGCACAAGAGGGAAATAGCCCACTGAATTCTGTGTTAGTACCTCCTTCATCTTAGTGCAGAGAGGCCCTTTCACAGCCCACTTACTGTTCTCAAGGAGCTATTCTTCCATTTCATTACAAGGGAAATTACTTTTCTTTCCTTTTTTTCCTGAGAGAACTAAGGGATCATGAACAGAGTCTTTTCTATGGCATTGTATAAGCACTAGGAAAAATTAAAGTGCTATGTTTTGAAAATATATTGTCCATAAATTTAACATTTCACAAAATATTGCTCTAATAGGTAATTTGCCCAGCATTATTCACTATAGAATTATGATCTGAAGGGGTTGAAGCTAGGATTAAACAGATTTCATACCTAGAAAGCTAGCAGTATATACTTGGGGATTTTTATCAATCACATGAAAGGCTTTTCTTCTCATGCAAATGTGCGTATGCAGACAAGCAGAGTGCCACACACAGCTCAGTTTCAGGGGAAGTTTGATTATAAGGAAGGAAATATAGACCAGATTATTCTACTTGATATTAAGAACTAATTCAATCATCCTCAACTTTGAAAGACAAGGCTTCTTCACATCCCTGGGAGCAATCATGAGCCATTAACAGCTCATAACCGTTCCAATAGACTATGGCCTAATGATCTCTATAATTAGGTTGTGGCAGTGAATAACATTTAATTCTCTAATATCATGGCAGGGTAGATGTGTAGTATACAGCTGACCCAATTTAAATTTGGGACAGAACAAAAAGAATTTTAAAAATTAATCAGTGTAACTTACAACTGTAGAGATACCATTTTCTTCATTATATTTTTAAGATCTCCATAGTTAGAAATTAGCATCACATGTAAATTTTTTTTATTGCTTACAGGGAAAATTTTTAAAAGATGAGATGTGTAGAGTCATCTGAAAATGGTTTAAAGGAGCATCCAATTTTCTGGTCTATCTTTGTGGGTGATCATGTTCTATAATCTTGGGGAGGAAGCTTTGGGAAGACTGAAATGAGAGGAGGAAACATTATCACTCTTCCCATATTTCTCCACTTATTCCATCTTCCACAAGGTTGTCAAGACTTGGATCCCTTAGTTGGAATTGAAAGCTAAAAAATGTATTTCCAATGACTTCATGTCACTTTATATTGTTGGATTTAAAAAATATATTTTCTAAGTCAGAGGCCTTATGTTAGAGGGGTTGCTGGAGTATCTTTGCAGGGATCTTTTTGCCAGGACGCATTTGACAAAAGAAGCAAGAGTATTGGTCAACTATTTGGTAATAGCTTGGGAAGGATGGTCCATTATGCCAATTCCTTAATAATTTAGTGATTAGAGAAGAAATAACTAGAAGACTGACAGTCAGCTCATCAAGCTGTCTTTAAAACCCAGAGGAAACTGTTAAGCTGAAGCTTTAACTTCAGGCTCTATTAAAAAGAGCCGTGTTTGCTAATTTTGCCCAGGATGGAATAAGAATTCCACTTAGTTAGGGAGATCAACTCATTTATTTTATCCATAGAGCTTTGTAGCACTCAGCACTTAACACACATTATCTAATTTAAACCTTGGCTTCACCTTGGAAGGTATGCGATATTTTATAGATATCTCAAATCTCTGTCTTTAGCTCTTATCTCTCTAAACTCACTTTGCTGGGTGTGTCTGACTGCAATCCAAAAATCAACATATTCTAAACTGCATGCATTATTTATTCCCCTCTCCAAAACCTGCTTCTTCTCTTACATTCAGAGCGTCAGTTAATAGCCAGAGACCTTGGTTTTCCCTTCTCACTCAACTTCACCACCAAGTAGTCACTAAGCCTTATCCATTTTATATTCTAAATATTTCTCAAACCTGTTCTCCTCACTACTACAACTGTATAATTCAGAGTGTCATTCCCACATATACGAATGTCACAGCCTTTCCATTTGTCCTTTCCTCTAGTAATGCCCCTCTTAAATAGATACTGAACATTTTAGCTACAATGATTTCTTTCTACACTGCATTCTGTCAATGTCACTCCCCTGTTTGACACCTTTCAGAGTGTCTACATAATTAATTGAAGTCCCCACCAGCTTGGACCTATTCTTAGTTTCATTCTCACTCATTCTCCTGTACACTCCAAACTCAAGGAGCAACCTACTGTCAGGATGTTCCCATCCAAATTCACTGTTTCACACCCCCTTGTCGTTATTCTCTCCCTTTCCCAGCATTTTTCATGTGGCTAATGTGCATTCTTTTTTTTAAAATATATTTTATTGAATTTTTTACAGAGAGGAAGGGAAAGGATAGAGAGTTAGAAGCATCGATGAGAGAGAAACATCGATCAGCTGCCTCCTGCACACCCCCCACTGGGGATGTGCCCGCAACCAAGGTACATGCCCTTGACCAGGATTGAACCCGGGACACTTCAGTCCGCAGGCCGACGCTCTCTCCGATGAGCCAAACTGGTCAGGGCCTAATGTGCATTCTTAATTCAAATCTTGTTCACATATCTTCCCCACCAGGATATCTCTTACTCCCAGGATGGAAATATGCCTCATTTTTGTCTTTGTGCTCTCTAGCTTCCTGCACTTTATCTAACATAGGAATAGAATACATATCATTGAGCAACTAATAGATAGATAGATAGATAGATAGATAGATAGATAGATAGATAGATAGAGAGATAGAGAGATAGATGATAGATAGATATAGTATGTATATTTATATAATGTCTGTTGCTTAATAGATGCTCAATGATATTAGTTATATAACAATTAATGTTTATTGACTAGATAAGGAATCTGATGATTAGCAAGATTAATTTCCCATTAGTCACACTCTGAATAAAAAGCATGCAGGGTAGATATTAAAATCTATTCTCTCTTCACAATAAATCAGAAAGTTAAGTGTTACCAACTCTCTTCTATAAGAAAGGAAATGAAGCTTGAAGAAGTTGGGCAGCCTGGCCAAGCTTACAGAGCTAATAGGCAGCTAAGTTAGAATTTGACAACAAAGTCCATGCTCTTTACATTAGTTCTGAGTGACAGGTGAAGTTGTTAAATCATGGGAAAGCAACTATATTCTTTTAAACAAGTAATTTGATTAAGTAGGTTGGTCATATCAATCAAAGGTAATGAATCATTTCTGTGCATTTGAAGAAGTGCCTAAAGATGTATTATTAATAGCACCTTAAAGTTCTAGAGTATCATTATTTCCCCCCTTTCTTTCCCTCAATTATTTTTAAATTGCACCTAAATGGAAAGCATTGAGTTAGGAATTATGAATGTGAAGAAGCATGATTCGTGTTCTCAGTGGTATCGCATCCTAACTGGGGAGTCAACACACACAAGGCAAGATATGGTAAATGCCACTGTAAAATTATCCTAAGGAAAACCTGAACTAGAGAGCCCATGTTAACTACTTAGAAATACTATAATTCTTATATAGAAAATATCTCTGCCAGAAAAAGGAAGCCCCAAATTTAGAACTTCTAGAAATAGGTTTCTTATCATTTTAAGCAAAATATACTTTAGAGACATAGGGTCAATTATATACCTGGCCATATTTATTTTGATAAAATTAAGTGAATGAATGATCAATTATCTTTGCATTTGTTTAAAGTAGACATGTAATATGTATATTATGGTAAAATAAATAATCATAACAGTTTAGTATTTTATTTAGCCTTAAAATTCTGATTTTATACTTGTCAACTCTATAAAAATAGACTCAGACTCTTAGTTTTTTCCATTTTATTTCTCTTTCTGTTAAAGGTGAGATCACTGTTTATGAAAATTTTTACCCCTTTTAAATACTTATTCCTATACAAACACTGAAAAAAAAGAGAGAATCTGTTATATAACTTCAAATAGTTCTGAAAATATTATTTAAAAAAATCTTTTTTATTGATTTCAGAGAGGAAGGGAGAGGGAGAGAAAGATAGAAACATCAATGATGAGAGAGAATCATTGATTGGCTACCTCCTGCGCACCTCCCCCCACCCCCACCCCACTAGGGATCAATCTCACAACCAAGCAACCCACCAGGAATTGAATTGTTGACCTCTTGGTTCCTGGGTCAATGCTCAACAGCTGAGCCACACCCAGCTTGGCTAAAAATATTCTTGATAGCAGCATTTTTCACAGTTTTGTAAAAAAGTAGGTGCTCAAAAATAGCTGTTGATGTAATTTGATTTCTAAATGTATTTTTAAATGAAATGAGATTAGGGATTTAAAGTTCCTCAACAATAAAACTTACCTATCATGAGATATTAAATACTTAATGATTGCCTTAGTAAGAAACTATAATTCCATATGATTCAACTGGTTTATATTATTAGGCTAAGAATCAGAATGAAAACTTCCAAAGTTGTGACTTATTCTGAACAACCCTGCTCGAGGTCAGGAGGAGGCAGGAATTCACAAATGACCCTCAAACCTAATTTTGAGATGGTTTTAGTGTTTACAATTTGACTTCACAAATTTTAGGGAAATAGATAAAAATGAACTGACATATAGTAAACTAGTTCTCTGCCTTTGAGATATCCCTTTTTAACCTAAAAGTCAGTACATAGGTTCTTATAATTGGACTAACAACACATGAACAAGTAACCTCAAAGGGAACACATAGTT